TTTTGTATTTTTCTCTACTCTAGTCTTGGAGCTCAAAAGTATCGGTACTTGTACTCGTACTTGTACCGAGTACTGTACTTGGTATCTGTGCAACCCTAATTTATTTACTTATTTATTTCAATAGTATGTATAGCCGTTTGCCCAGAGTTTGGCTTTATATACACTTTTTAAGATTCCACATCTTCTAACTCTTATGGCACTGAAGCTTTGTAAGTTGCACTTCTGGAATATTTTGTACTAGCAAATCAGATTTACAGTACAACATGTAACCTAACATTTGTTTAACCACTTCAGGATTTAGATCGCATCCCATATATCCTGGTCTTGAAGTGATTAAAGCAAGTTCACATCTGCAGCTTGTTTCTTTTTTGTTTAGCAGGCTCCCAACACTAGTGAAAGTGACCAGGGCAGCTGTAGAGCTGCTCGATCGTTTTTATGGTACTCACATACAGAGGGCAGGGGAGAGTTTAGGGATCTAATAGACCCATAATGCCTGCATAAAGAGTACCTGTCATCTGCCCAATTAGATCACATCCCCCTAGGAACAGCAATAAAGTTAGGTGAAAAAAGGAATCCAAAAGTGTTTACAAATGTAAAGATACTAAAGGAATACAAAATGTAACACCAGCACACGCATAGGGTGCTCCCGTGTATATAAACAAAGATTGCCCCACACATAGTTGGTATTGCCATGCATGCGGAAATGAGGGAAATAATTCTAGGTCCCTCATTTTGCTTACTGTAAGCTCTAAACTTTTTGAACTGATGAACTGTTAAGGCATTTAAATCTTTGCCTATTGATAATTTTGGGTACAGGATTTTTTTGCCATTTCACAGGTGCACACAGTTTTGGGGCTTAACATATTTAGTATCTATTGACTTGCCCTTTTCTTTTGTACAAAAATGGAGATTATATTGTGTTGTGTTCATTAACAAATCATTTACTTTTCACTGAAAATATAGATTTGATAAAACGTTGCCAATATTGTGCCACATAAAAAATAGCAACTACCATCTATTTATTCTACGTGGCTTCTGCTCTCAGTAAATCTATAATATAATATATAATAATATATTTCCTGCCAAAAAATGCAGATTTTAACATGCCAAAAATGTCAAAAATGTATCCAGTAGCGATTGGTTAATGATATTCTTGGATGCCCTTCCTTGAAGGAAGATTTGTTTACCTTTATCATTCGCTCCACCCCACTAGGGCTCAAACATTTACATACATGTATCCTATTCATCTTCCATTGTAGACTAGGAATGCAATTCTGCAAAAAGTCTCAATTTCTATAAACATACAGTTTAAAACTATTATGCTTATTTACATCAACACAGCAGCAAACTTTTGTTATCACTAGGGATGCACTAGTATCAGTATCACTAGGGATGCACTAGCATCAGTGCCGATACTGATTATTTGGGCTAGTACTCGTTCTAAAAGGCTTACTATACTTTCAAATAATTTAATCCTAATGTCCTCCATCCCTCACCACCTCTATTCTATGGAACCCTTCCAAAAGGGGCAGCCATTTTCTAGAAGTCCAACATCCAAATTTACCATGTATTTTTCCAGTTTGGGAGGGCAACTATTCTAAAGATGAACGTGCTTGCACAACTATGCTATGAAAACAATCTCTGTATGGTTGCCTCCTTCTTTCCTGCAAACCATTCAGCACATTTCTATGGAAAGCCACAATCCCAAGAATTAACATGGGCACCTGACCTTACCCAAGCACAAAACAGGCACTGGGCTTCCAGAAACTAAAAATGTTTTCTGGGCCTGACAGATCACCAGACTGGTAGACTGGAACCTACACTCTACCCCGAAGGATTGGCTCTTATTAGAACTGAAAGCGAAATCTATTATGATGTTCATATTAAACACAAGAACACCCATTTTTATAAAGGAACTGTATGTTCATTTCGAGTGAGGACTGAACTTTTCCGCAAGAGTGTTCTCACTCCTCCTTTCCTAGAAATTTAGTCTTGCAACTTCAAGATAGTTACTGACCTTCTATATTATCCCACTTGCTAGTTCTGCATAACATGCTACATCGCCTCCTTTCTTTTTTTTTTTATAAAAACTTCATGCACCGCAATAAAGTCAGAACAGATGTTTTGGACCAAATTCTGTATTTTGTGTCACTCTGTTCACTGCAATATTGCATATTGATAAAAATCAGTCTCATCCATAAAATGTCCATAACAGAACAGACCTTCAATCTTCTCCCATGGAAGGACCTCCCCACATTTTATACCTAGAATAGTACATGAGCACCTATTCATAGGGGCTACCGTCAGAACTTACTCAATGCCTGCAATGCATTGTCTCTATCTTCTACTACTGGCCCAATGACACCAATTAAATAAAACCTGGAATTTCCTGCCAGCATGTCTGTAAACTTATTAAGGGCCTGTAAGCCTCATTCCAGACTGAGAGCAGGGTACCTCTTTAAATGGGGGTGCTTATGGGACCAGGGCAACCTGAAGGATCAACCACAAACAGACCAGAACCTGATGTGATCCTACCACTAAATTAGACACTCTGGAGTTAGTTTACTAAAGACAAATAGCCTGTTCACTTTGCAAGGGAATTTGTACTTTGCAAGTAAGTATTCCCTTAGCTTAGTGAATTCACTTTGCATTGCATTTGGTATGTGCGATGGTATGTGTTCGCTCACTTCCCGATCTATTGAGCCGACCTGTGACAGTTTCATTGTCAAAGATCGGCTACAACTATGAGGCTGAGTGATTTTCACTTGCCTCATAGTTCTCCTTTAACTCACCTCTTCTCATTACCTCACTGGTGCTGATGTCTTCTTCTGGGGTGGGGTCTTTGGCTGTCTTAATTGGTCAGCGAGCGATAATGTTACTCCTGTACAGGAGTTCACTGATCCTGACACAGAGGTGAGAATGTTACACTGAGCTGCACATGCGCAACTCAGTATACAATCTAAAGAAGATTGTGAACAAGCAGGTTGGTTTGTCTTATTGCAGAAGAGACATAACTTGTCTCCACTTAAATAAAGTGCCTGCCTGGTGGCAATTTTCTAAGTTTAGTTTCACTTCAAATCACCTTTCTGGCAGCCTATGTGAACAAGTTCGGAATGGTGACTACTTAACAACACACACAGTGACCACGGGGAACAAAAGTAGCCACCCTCCAGAAGAAAGGACAGTGTCAGCGCACATTCAGAGATTGAGGATCTACAGCCGAGTGATACACAAATAACATACATTTCTGTTAAAGGAGAACTATGAGGTGAGTGCTTTTCACTCACCTCATAGTTCTAGCCGACCTGTGACAATGAGACTGTCACAGGTCGGCTCAGTAGATCGGGAAGTGAGGGAACACATACAGGGTTCGCTCGCCTCTCGATCCTGTCACAGCTCTCTGCCGTGACAGGGGAGGGACTGGATTCCCCTCTCCCCGCTCCGATCCGCCAGCGCTGACTGGCGGAACGGACGGGGGTGGGTACAGCTGGCTCTGCCTCTAGATAGGCAGAGCCAGCTGTCACTCACGCAGCTGGGCGGATCTCGACGTCGAGGTCGGGATCCGCTCCGGCTGCGGCGTCTCTCGCGGTATACTGAGCTTAGGGTAACGGGAGGACGCTAGTTTGTGTCCTCCCGTTACCCTAAGGAGAACTATGGGGAAAAACACTGACCCCATAGTTCTCCTTTAATAAAGGTTTATTAAACCCTCAGCGGTTTTTGCATATATCTACCGCTAGCAAGCAATAGATATATGCAAACACATAAACAAACTTTTCAAACAGGTTAAAACGTAACCTGCGTCTTCCCCACGCACTCATGCCCAAACATCTTGGGGCGGGCGCATGCGCAGTTCAGATATTCAGGCGGGAGACGAGTAGAGACACAAGGTAAGTCTATGGAGCAGTGTGCACCAGCACAGACTCAGAGTCACAGGAAGTGTCAGCTAACACAGAGGAGTCTGATCGCTCTGATCGCTGAATCAGAGACCGGCACCAGCGTTGGGGGGGAACCGCCTCCCAGCCGGCCGTTGTGATCATAGGGCCAGCCGGGAGCTCTCTAGATCTGAGTTGGCATATTTAAACATCCTGCCAGATCCGCGCGAGAAACTGCCTGAAGTTAAAAACAGGCAGCGATGCCTATTTACATACAAGCGATCCGCTGGCTATAGAGCTGGTGGATCGCTTGGTCTTGGAGACCCCTGATGTCTCCATAAAGAGGACCTGTCACATATGTTTGCTATCACATCGCAGTGAATTGGGTAATAATAAATGTTTCCTAACAAAAGAAAGCTTTATCTGTCCCAAACAAAATGGTATAAAATTCATTTCAGTACAGTGTTGCATGATGGAATAAAAGTACCGCAGCGCTGAATACTGAAAAATGGCCTGGCCAGGAAGGGGGTGTAAACACCTGGTCAACAACTTTAGTGTCACTTTAATGTTGCATAAAATTAGGTTTTTGTTTTTTTTGCATTGGTCCATGTTCCCCAGAGCAGTACCTCAATGTGACCTTTGTTTGACAATCTCTTCACTATAAGCCCAGAAAATGGAGACCATTTCCAAAATTCACCTACTGTTGATTTCATTTGGGTTTGCATTAAAATTCCCAAATGGTAAATATTTGCTGGGCTTTTCTGCTGAACGCACCCATAAATCACTACTAAGGACACAATTGCAGTGCAGAGGTGACATGACTTCCGGCCTGCACACAGGTGATCAGCTCTATCACCCTGGAGGGTTGACAGGGGGTATCCAGCATCACGTGACCAGTACCCAGCCCGAAGGTGTGGGACACTGGGCGAACATTGCACATGCGCAGTATGAGCGGCGCGGAGACACGGGGACGGGAAGTGCCTTCCAGCATCTTTCATGAGTCAAATGGGCTGCAGTGTGTGTGACCTGTCACCGGCCGCTCTCCTCCTACAGGAGGCTGCTGCAGAGTGGCAGTAAGCTCTGCCCTTATTACGTACAGCGCACAGACGTGTCTGCAGAAAGGGAGGACTGCTTCCATGCGCAGCTTTCTTGCAGCTCTGAGCTCCGCTCACCGTCTGCTGCTCCAGACTGCAGCCGGAGGGATCAGCATGTGTGCGGGGGTCAGCTCGGCATGCACCGACTCCCCCGCATTGTTTAGACTGCCTGCGGTGGCAGGAAGTGAGCCCGGCAAGTGTAACGATCTGCTGTTCTCCTCGCCCCGGGAGAAAGCCCAGAGGCCGCACCATGTCATCTATTTCCCGGGAGACGTGCAGGTGAGATTGTGTGCAGGTTGCAGCTCGGTCCGACCCCCTTATTTCTCATCTCTATGGAGATGATGTGTTGGTGGGGCAATGATCATTGATTTCAGGTACACTCCTCTATATTGTAAAGGTGTTCCGGCTAGTGTGAAGGTGTGTTTCGGCTAGTGTGAAGGTGTGTTTCGGCTAGTGTAAAGGTGTCATAAATCCACCCACAATATTAAAATGCATTTGCTCCATTTTTCTATTGGATCTTATAAAGCATTGCAACCATGGCCAAGAACCATGACTGTGCGTGCAGTGCACAGCATCCTGCAGAGTGTTCCCCCAAACCAAGGTCCATTTAGATGTACAAACCTTCTATAATAGGGCTGAAGGGGATTATCAATGGGCTACAAGTACGGAGATGTCACTGCACTACTACTCCATTGAGATCTTCAAGTCCCTATGCCATGGTGGAAGATGGGACTTGTAGTCTTTATATCTGTGGAAATGGATAATGCAGCTTTGCTGAGTTCCATGAAACCAGAATGCCACAGGGAGAAGAATATCATGATCCAAGTATGGAGGGGTAGTGGTCTTTTGAGAGGGGGGGGGTTGGGGAAAGTGACTGTGCGTCGTGTTACACCCTAAATATGTAACATGAGCCGTGGTCAGAAATGTGGTGTATGCTTTTAAAGGAGAAATACAGGGAGAGTGAAATGTACTTTCCCTGATGCTTAGTCCTCATTCACATCTAGGTGCCAAGCACTCGCACTTTGATGCGCATTTACGGAATGTGTCAAAAACGTGCAATTTGCTTGCAGTGCCATCACAAATTAATGGCACCCCAAATGCGGTTGGCAAAAAAAACAAACAAGGGGCACTCGTACCAGAATCTGCTATATGAGCTACTTTCCTGCGTTTGTCGTGTGTGTGACAGCCATTGAAATCAGTGGGCAGCATGCAGGAATGAATGCAACGCATGTTCCCACTATGTCTAGGTGTGAATGGGGACACTGCGACTGTCCCACGTCAGTTGTAAGAACAAGAGCTGAGTGATCACATGACTGCTGATCAGCTCTCAGGGCCTGATCACATGATTTTCAGGTTCGGATCTGCAGATGCGGTGCTACTCATGCAGTGCGTTTTTGATGCGTTTTCGGTCCGGATGCTGACAGTTTTTTTTTTCTTCAAGCCGTGGGGCTGTCAGTATGCAGATTCAGCCTCTGAGGTCACTTCCGCCTTCTCGGAACATCTACTTCCCTTTGTGTATGTAAAGCTGGTGATCAGACATGTATCACATGTTTGCAGGCATGTTGATGGTGCTGGCTACAGCAATCTGCAGAGAACGATCCCGCAGGAGACGTCGTTATTGGGTACACCCGATCTTGAGGCTCCGGGACTCCAAGGGTCAGTTCTGGAGTTTATATGAGGATTTGCGAGTTCACCCGGATACATTTTTTTTCCTTTACTCGTATGTCCATGGCAAGGTAATGGGCATGTTCCAAATGTTTGCAGTTCATGTCGTTACCTCTACCCCAACCTGTCTGTCTAACTTTTTTTTTGCTTAGCTGCATTGCGTTTTGTTTTTGTTGCGTTTTTGCCACGTTCGTGCGTTTCCGGACCGTTTCCTGACCGTACAAAATGTGACATGCAGTATTTTTCTGTCGTAACCTGAACGGACTGCAGCCCATAAAACACATAGAGATACATTGGGATGCATTTTTAGTGCAGGAGCGTACGGATCAGGTCAGCACACAAAGCGGACGTCGTGTGAACAGGCCCT